GGCTATAATAATAGCTATAGGTCTAAGTCTAACTAATGAAAATATGAGTATGCGACCCATATAAATAAATATCGAAAAGGCTACTGAACAGGAGCAGCGTAGGCACGCTGACGGAGGCACGAAACAGCTACCCAACTGCCAACAACTGGCCCAGTGCCGATCAACCAAGATCACAGCTGTAAACAGCTGTAATCGGTTGATCGGCCAGCTGAAAAACGGCAGCTGGGAAAGGGGAACTGGAAAAGGGTAAGGAGGGATGGCTAGAAAGGCATGGCAAGAAACGAGTGAATGGCTGTAGGCTGTGATATCTACAGGTCTAAGTCTAACTGATGAAAATATGAGTGCGCGACCTATATAAATAGACATCGAAAAGGCTACGTGGCCTAGATCCACCGCACCACTACACTACGTAGCCTAGATCCACTGTACCACTACAATACCTTTAATGCTTATTACTAAGCGCTCGTTATCGTAATGTATCTTATAAATTAAGAGTCGGAATTACTTCCGAAACTATCTTTTAAAGAGTCGAAGAGTTCTTATTATTAGTAGACCTTGCTTATTTTCTAGGGTCTTAACTTATAACATTCCGCTAAATTTATTCCTGATTACGATAAGTTACTTAGATCCGTCGTAACCTTTCAGGTAGTTAAAAAGATTATAATATATCTTTTAAAAAAGACGTAACGAGGGATATATTAATAAATAGCGCGAGATTACTCTCTTACCTATTACTTAAATATAATACTCGTACTTAATTATAGGTATACCATTAATCTTAATATTCTAGGCGTTTTTAAGGAAGGCTTTAAGTACTTTAGGACTAAGATACCTTACTCGCTAGTACTAGAATACCTCGGAGTTTTCTTTTAGTTTAGTAGTATCTCTCGATCTTCTTTACCGGACGTTTCTTTCCAGGAAATAAGATATTACTACGATCGACGCTACGCTACGTAGAATGCTCGATAATATTATAAATAGTATTACGGAGAGGACTTACGAATAAGAAAAGAACTACTTAAATTCGAAAAAGACTAGGTTAAAGCGTCGCTTTAGCTTCCTTATTATAATACTTTTCTCGAGGGTTCCATTTCTTAAAGTATAATTTAAACCGTAAAATTAAATACCTATATTACGAAGTTTCGCTTTAGAAATAATATTAACGTAAAAGCTTTTAATAAATACGACGTCTTTAAGCTTTAGATTAAAGGTAGGCCTATTAGATTAATCTAAGATATACTTCTTGATAATCTTACAACCCGTATTAGTAATAGGAAAGCTCGTAGTACCGGCTTTAACCGTTTATTTATCTTTAACGAGAACGAACGACCCTTTTATTAAAAGGTTACGATTATTAATAAGGTAAATAGCTCTATAGTTATTAAAGACGGTATTTTCTGATAATAAGTATCGGATTAAATCTATTATAAAATAGATCTTAGTTTAGGTAAATAAGTATATAATACGTAGGTCGATAATTATTACATTAATATTAGCTAGTTAGGTAGTAGCGTTATTTCCTCCCCCGTTCCTAGAGCGATTATTAGGTATATTATTTACGGGAACGTCCTACCCTTAGCGGTTAATCTAATTTTAAAGCTTAACGTACTTAGGTAATTCGTATTTAGCCTTGATTTTTCGTATGATATTAGCCGGAATAGGCTTTAGGTAGCGTATAGTCTAATTAGTAACGGACTTTTAAAGGATTCCATAAGAACGAATTAACTATATATATAGTTTACCTCTAGACTTATAAGGGTATTCGTAGCTCGTTACTTTTCCTTAGCCGCTATTATTACCTAATTTCGCTCCTAATATCAGACCTTAATAGGTTATTACGAAAATTCTATAACCTAATTTACCTTTCTACTTATTCTCGGTAGCGAAAGCATTAAATACGATACCTAATTACTCGAGGGTCTTTAGTTACTCGCCGAGTTTATTAGCTTCTATAAAAGTAATTAATACCCGAATAACTTAGTCGATTACGATCTTAACCTTAACTACTTCGAGGAAATCCTTTGCTCCTATAACGCCTTTAATTTCGTTAATATAATAAGCGCGAGTACGAAGGAAGGTATATTATTATATAACGTAGAATTACTCGGGATTATAAGTACTTACCTTTATTCTTTAGAATATCTTACGGTATTCTCGCCTAACGAGCGTCTTAATTACGGCTTTGGTAGGAGTAATCTACTTACGAAGAATCTTTACAAGGTTTTAAATAATCGGATTAAGGTCTAGGAACTATATTTTTATATTAACTATCTTAAGAAAGCCTATAGAAATAAATACGAGAATCTAGCTATAGAAAACCCTATGCTACTTATTAGTAGTTATAACCTAAGCCTCGATCGTTATTTATTAGGAGACGAACTTATTATACGAAGCCGTTTATTACTCTCGAGTTCGAGCCTTAAGTCTTAGTAGCTAATTTTCTCGATCTTCGGTTACGATCGATACCTATTCGTAGATCGCTTTCTTATAATTTTCTCTAAGGAATTCGTTCTCTTAAGTAATATACTCCTTAAGAGTACTTATTACGACTCGACTAAGGTTAAATTTAGCTCTATTTAGATTAATGCTTTTTTAAATACCGAACTAAGTAACTACCGACTTAAGTATAAGGAATTAACGTAGCTATTTATCGTAAGCTCGTAAGTAAACGTTAACTAGAATCTTATCCAGGGAGAATTTAAACGTATTAATCGTTATAGCGAATAGGCAAGTAATTATATAATGCTAGATACGAAAGTAGAATACCGGTATAGAAAATAAGAAGGAAGAATAATCGTAAGATTTAAGAGATAAATAAATATATAATACTTACTTACGCTAGAATAACCTAAGTAATAATAGCTCCTTAGAAGTACCCCGGGCTTATAACTATTACGTAGCTAGCGAGAGCTATGTATGGGTTAATAAGTTACGCGTAAAGGAAGTAATGGAATACGGGTAAGAAGGTATTTATTAACTAACTAGAAAAGAAGGAAAGCTACTAGAGAGTATAGAGTAATCTATAGGTATATATAGTAGTACTTAACTAGCTTAGGTAAGCTAGGTGGTTCCCACTAGGGGAGCATACCTACGTGACAAAATAATATACTTTAATATTATAAATAACGAATAGAAATAGCGTAGACATATTAATTCTATTGAACGAATATAGTTTCTAATATTTTAATTAATCTCTATAACCTTATATATAGTTAAATCGTATATAAATAAAGAGCATAGGTATAAAAGTAATCTAGATATAGTATATTTTATATAAAATACGTTTTTTTACATTAATTATACAATAATTTTTAACGTACGTTGCTTCTTTTTAAATATATTAAAATATTACGACTTCTTTAATAATTAACGTTACGGTTTTTTAATTGCGACTTCTTATAGTGCCCCTTTATCTATAAAATAAAATGATTTATTTTTTAGTATTAATTACTTTTATCATTTCCTTTCCTTTTTTCTTACGCTTATTATCTTTTCTATGCTTTTTTATAATTTTTATAACTACGTAAGTTTAAACCTTTATATATACTTAATTAAGTTTAAAATTAACGTTAACGAGATTTTATAATTTTTTTTTTTAATAAAATAATATTAAAGTATTTAAAAAAGTAAGAAATTTAATACGTACGTGATAAATTTAATTAATTAAAGTAATATTTAAAAATTTTAGATACCGAGCTCCCTGGCTTAGGCTTCGATTGATTAACAGTTAATAACGTTAATAATAATGTGAATAATAATGCTGCGGTAAATAATATTAACGACTTAGCGGCCGCCGGTAGTAATAGTAATCTTTTCTCCCCTGGTAAACCTTATAAAGTAAGTTATACTTTATAAACTTTACAATATAAAAAAAGTACATAATTAAATAATGATATACGAAAGTGTTAATTTCATTATATAAAATTTACTTACGAACCGAGGTTTTTCTCTGTTGATAACGATAACGACGACGGTAGCGACGAGAAAAACACGTTACTTTATAAAGTATATTTTAATAAGATTAAACAATTATAAATAAAAACCTCCGTAAAAAAACATAGTATATAAAATGATATAAAAAACACGAAAAGTTACATGTACGTGATAATTAATAAGTATAAAAGATACTCGTTATTATTATCATTATAAAGGTTACCACGCTTACGGTAAGGTATTTCGAAACAACGAGCCTGAATTTATTAAATTTATAGACTTAAAAAAGCTTTCGATTTTAAATTAATAAAAAGATACGTTAATACATAATAAAGTTTACTAATGTAAAAATTTTAATTTAAAGTAAGCTTTTAATTAAACCTTTAAGAAAATTAGAAAAAAAACTATAAAACGGAAAAGCGGGTAATAAAGTAAAAAGGATTTAATATTAATACCTTTTTTAGAGACGAGATATTATAAGAAATCTGATATAAATTATAAGAAAAAAATATACATATGTTAAAAAAGCATTTTTTAGAAAAGAAATTAATAAAAGTATAAATTTAAAAATTCTATAGTTTAATTAAATATACCGCCCCTTTTTAATATATAAATTACGTACTTACATAATTTTAACTTTAAAAACTTTTCCTATATTAAATTTCTTTTCTATTTTATCTTTATTGAATTTGTTTTTATACATTTTTATTATAAATAATTTATTCTATATTCGATATAGTATATGTTACTATAAAAATTTAAACCTGTTTCGTATTTATAATAAATAATTCTATATTAATTATAAGTTTTCTATGTATAAAAATTTTCTTTTTTAAAGTTTCTTATAATAAATAAAGTTCGTAAACGTAAAAGATATTATTAAATAAATTAAATATAATGTTATAATCTTTCTATATATAATCTCTTACGTTTTTTATATTTTTTATAATAAATAATGTTTGTAAACGTAAAAATCGTCATTAAATAAATAAACTATATTTTCTATATCTTTTCATCCTTCGAATAGATTATTATTTTTAGCATTTACGTTAAAAATAAACCCGAATCATTTTACAAAGTAGAATAATTTAGGTATTATTTTAAAACTAACCTTCTCAACCTTGCTATATCTCGTTTCAGAGAAGGATTTGTAGTTACTAGCGCCGCGTAGATGCCGTTGAGGTTCACTCCTTGTATGCTAACTAGCGAACTCCGTGGAGTAGCTTGATTCTATGTCATCGTGCCCGACGTGCACAGAAATCAGCTATCGCAGATCTCATGATGTCGAATCGGCAAGCTGTGCTGTGAGAATTGTTCGCCCCGTTTCCCCATATGCGTCTCACAAGATCTAATCTAGCGGTTATATAGGTCTCTCTACCGGCGCTCGTTGAAGTTGGCCCTCGATTGGGCTGTCCACCGAAGCTTGTGGCGCGGTCAGGCCCTATACATACGATCTCTATTTGAAGCGAACCGGAATATCACAGAGACGAAGAAGCAGAAGGTAACGCTGTTCCTCCGACAAACCACTACAAGGGAAGACCCCGCGTTGACTAGCTAATCCTTTCTCTGAAGGTGTTACTCAGCGAAGCAGAGAAATTACTCGAAACATGGAAGCATCCCGATCCATATCGTGCCCCCACGGCCCCAGGAGGTATGGTTAAGATCATCGGCGGAGATACTCTTCAATGGAAGCGGATGTTCCCCGGATGTTCTCTCGCTGATATCGAATTCAAGGGTCGAAATACGAAAGAAACCTGCCACCCCATTCTACCAATCGTGAGTTTAGTATCTGGTTGGTATAGTTAAGTCTGCCAGATGCTGACTGGGCTATTGTAGCACCGCCACCACTCAAATTCTAGACCTTTTGCTGAAATAGGACGACACCATTTCACATCAGGCCGACCTGTACATTACTATCATAACTATGTTGCGCGAAAAGCAGGCCAGCATTGGTCCTCAAGCGGACAGCGCGGGTCTTCTAGTTCGAACTTCAATGGGCGGAGACGAAAGTTGTGGTCGGTATCTCGCTAGGAAGTGAAGGAACGACCGGCCCGTAACACTGTTCAGGGCCAAGTCTCGTAGAAGTCAAAACAGCATGTTCAGGAATTATTCTCATTCGTGTCCATTACTCGATGGATTATGCCTGTAATGTACAACCCTTGCGCGTGAAAAGCAAACCGTGCCCAGCCGTGACCCCGTTGTTCATGAAGCGTACCAAACAACCAGAAAACAGAAAACCACACCCCTCACAGTTCTTGGCTAGCGTTTTTGCCAGGCTTGCCCGACTTCTTGGGTAGGAGGTCTAGGACACTTGTTAGCACATGATCTACGGCGCATAGATCCGAAGACATACTCTGATGAATGTTGGGTAGGACACCACCCTGGGCGATAGTGACGTGACCGAGAAGCTTGTTCAGCTCCTCGTCATTTCGAATAGCGAGCTGAAGATGGCGGGGGATGATGCGGGTCTTCTTGTTATCACGGGCGGCATTTCCAGCAAGCTCGAGAATCTCAGCAGCGAGATACTCGAGGACGGCAGCCAGATACACCGGAGCACCTGCATTCGACAGATTAGACGCGGGCATGGCCAAAAAGGCCGAGGAATCATACCAGCACCCACTCTCTGGGCGTAGTTCCCCTTGCGCAGAAGTCGGTGAACACGACCGACGGGGAAAGCGAGGCCGGCCTTTGAAGATCGCCTACAGTGATCACCTCCTCGTTAGCAAACGCGCGACGGGGTGGTACAGACACGACGGCCTAGATCGGCACAGATCGTGAGACTCGGTGGCGTGAATGATGCAACTTACGACTGCGCGTTCTTGGAGCCGCTGGCCTTGCCGCCGGATTTGCCGCCTCCAGTCATCTTGATTGTGCAGGATTGGATAGGTCGTAAAACGGTTGCTTCAGGACGCGTGGACACTGAGGACAGGACAGCGGTGTTCGGGTTCGTGGTATCGTAGCGGCGAAATGTTGATAGGGAAAGATGGAAGATGAGAATTGGGAGAAAGAGGCGGATTAGGGTGGGGAGAAGCCTTTTTAAGTACTGTTGGTTCGCGTCCCGGATCAAAATCACGGATCACTAAAACAAACGCCGGGTTGCGCGCCTAGTCCGCATTAGGCTGACTTGAGGGAGCTGCGGCTTCGGTACAAAAAAATAACAACACGCGAAGGGAGGAGCATATGTACCTAGGTACCGTGGCCCGGTGTGGGTCCCTCCTACCTGTAACCAGGCAATTACGACCCGCAAGGGCGCCCGCTGCCTGTGGGCTCCAACATTGTTGGAAACGCTCGGCAGTGGAAGAATAAAAAATCGAGGTCGTCGACCCCAACCCCGGATCAATACCAAACCTGCCCACGAACTCCGTCCAGTTCTACATATGTTGTAGGTACCTACTACGCATCGATCTCTGCCTGATCCAACTGATATCCGCACGTAGTCATAACGTGCCTCCTATGATGCTTGGATGGCGGAAGAAAGCATTTTTTTTTTTCTTCCTTCTCTCTATCCTGGACTCTTCGCAGACTTCCCTCCATGTCCTGCTCCCGCTAATCACTACAGACCGGAGCCGGGCCGCGTCTACTGATCGTTGGATCACCTCTTTCCTGGCCCAACCCGCTACTTCTGTCAGTGCGTACCAGCCGGTGTTTACCGAAGCGTAGCATCCTATCCGATCTAGAGGTTTGATGCCGTCCGTGCTCTGCGCTGGCTCCGCTGGTCCTCTGGATTATCGTTGGTATTCCGTGTTTTTCGCCCGGAGCAGCATGAGCGTGCAGGACTGGTGGTAAGCAGCGAGTTCGCGGTCCAAAATGATGCGGTTTCAAGCCACCACCATGGTTTCAGACAATAAGAGGCCTGGCCGTGCCGGTGAACGGTCTCGCACGTGTACGTTGGAATGGATCTTCCGAATATTGGATCCCGCCCGCCATACGTATTTCTCCGGCACAGCGAGGAAGGAGGAGGCTGGCATAGGTATCGGGATCGGCGCAAGGCGGTGGTGTGTGACTGCTCGGGGATGGCACGCTTCGGTACGTCCGCGATAAGTGGACTGGCGGGAGCCATCTACCATGTAGGGATCTCGAGCCGGGGAGGTTCTTCACAGATCACCCGGAAACGGGCACCACCTGGGTAGAACACAACTTCGCAGGATTCGGTACGTAGGCGGTGCGTGTTACGTAAGGAAGGGTAACTCGTAGAGCGAATAGAAAGCTGGAAGAGGGAGAGAGGGAGGGCGGTGGATTTCCGGAACCCCTTCGAAGAGGCGCATCGTGCATCTCGCCCAAACAAGTACGTACACACTGTTAGCTCAGAACGAGGAGCCTCCTAAAAAACCCGGGCCGGGGTCATTGCAATCGGCCACGGTACTGGGTTCGGGGCACAAGCCTAGGCAGAATGGGCGCGTGTAGTAGCGACTGCACAGGGCGCGCCAGAACAACTACGAAGTAAGAACACCGCCGTCTGACCTGACTGGAGTTCGAGCTGCTCCCGCTCACCACCCACGGGAGGTTGGGAGGGCCGATCTGGAGGGAGCAAAAATCGCCTGAGACCTGGGGACCATACATAGGTAGTAACTACTCATAGGCAGGCAGATAGGTGATACCTGGGGTGGTATCTGAGATTATGCCGGGGGCGAAAATGCCTGATCGTGTCTCCCGCTCACTCGCAGATTATATCGACTTTATCGATTGGCTGAGACTGCCTCTGGCTGCGGTATGTTTGGACAGATGTACCCTCAGGTACCTTCGCGGCCCGCAACAGGCTGGAAGGTACCTGGAGGTAGGTAAGTGTTTGGGTGTTTAGGTAAGGTGAGGAGGGCCTGTGCGTCACCCCGACGCGTACCCTCGGTCGCGTTGACAGGGTGGGGACGAAGGTACCTTTGGCTCGTACCTGATTTTATAACGTGGTATTTTCTTTTATTTATGCATTTTTTAATTGACACCAGCTCCCGCCCAAACCTTGATCAGTACAGACGTTACGAGGATCAAATCAGTAATCACGCTAGTGGCCGCCCTCAATACAAAAGGACTGGCACCCACCACCCTTCACCCATCCACCCATCTTGACTTCTTCCCATTTCTTCCATCCATCAGTCTTTCCCAACACACCACCACAATTTGGATTTCTTCGTTATCCCTCAACTGTCCCCATTCCGCAGCCAGTCCCGCCAATTTTAAATCTCCGTCCCCGCTATCCAACATGCCTCCGAAAGCTGCTGACAAGAAGCCCGCCGCCTCTAAGGCCCCGGCCACCGCCCAGAAGGCCCCCGAGAAGAAGGATGCAGGCAAGAAGACCGCAGCAACTGGGGACAAGAAGAAGCGCACCAAGTCTCGCAAGGAGACCTATTCCTCTTACATCTACAAAGGTAAGCCGGCTACGCCTCGGCCCCCCCCCCCGGGGGGGCGGGTCAATCTGTTACGCGGTATATCTAGCTTCATGTGCTGACTCACAGCCCAGTCCTCAAACAAGTCCACCCGGACACCGGTATCTCCAATCGGGCAATGTCAATCTTGAACTCGTTTGTCAATGGTAAGTTGCTCCCTGTCCGCCCGCATGTCCGATTCTGACTGAGTCCGATAGATATTTTCGAACGTGTCGCTACCGAGGCATCCAAGCTAGCAGCTTACAACAAGAAGTCCACTATCTCTTCCCGGGAAATTCAGACGTCAGTGCGCCTAATTCTACCGGGCGAGCTCGCCAAGCATGCCGTTTCGGAGGGCACCAAGGCAGTTACCAAGTACTCGTCATCGACGAAATAAGTCTGGTTTCTACATCTGGTTTCTCGTTTAGGCATGGGACTTCATTTTTAATCGCTTTGGCATCATGATGAGGCTTGGCCAGAGTCGTTGATACACAGGTCCCCCAACTCAGGGAGTCTCATAATGCGTTACGGATGGTTTGCTTTTAAGGGGGCAATGTCTTCGCACAACACGGTCTGGGGTTTGTGGTTGTACAATACACTTTGCCGATACCGGTTTCGGAATGAATCTGCATATGAACATCTCGTCATTACCAGCGTGAAGTGCCTGTCATGTTCTGTTGCCATGGCATGTCCACTGTTGGCTAACATGCGGCTCAGTCATCGTCACCTGCTCACAGGGTTTGCAGTTAACGTATCCAAGCAACGGTCCCAGGCTGCCCAGGTTTATGCCGGATTTCTTGACTGGGCACTAGACTCAGCTGTGGATTCTGTGACAGGACCCGTTAGGCACGGGGATCTTGCCTAGTATTGTATGCATTCTTGTTTATTTACGGAGTGAGCGAGACCCGACACCAACGATCTCAACTCTCTCCAAGTCCTGCTTTGTTTTTCTTTATCACGTGGGTGATGGGCACCATGATACCTTTGTTCTCATCGCTTCCCAATGCCATACCCTTGGACCAGCCCATCTTCTCCAGCATGGCTCTACCCTTGTTCTCTGCACTTATTTCGGCTGCATGCTGGCCTACAACGTCGCCATCCTGACAAGTAAGCGACCTCCCTAGGCGTGACTTGCCGTCTTGAACTTGCGGTTGTTTTGAGATCCGAGTACCGCTGACGTCGTTGCGGGGAAACCAAGTTCGCCCAATGCGACGAAACGTTCTATCAAACATGACCTGGTCGAAGGGAACTGTAGCGTTGGACCTATAGAGAACTGGGTATCTGCGGTTTCCCTGGCCCGCGGATTGCGACTTGATGGAGAACCTATTGGCTAAGGAATGGATGGTTTTGCGAGCGACTTTGCCGAATGGAGGCAAAATTAGCCTAAAGAATATCAGCCCAATATATCTTCTCATAGCATGGAGCATTTATAGGACTTACTGCTCTTGCGAGCCGAGGAGGAATACCTCAAGCTCGTTAGCAAGGTCGTCAAGGGACATGCCTTTCAGATACTTGACTCTGAGATCGTCGGGGTTGGTCTTCTTCCCAAGTAACCCCTCGGACCGGAGCGCCTGGCGTGCCTTTTTTCTCTCTGCCTTCTTCGCCCGATCCTTCTGTTTGGCGGACAGTATAGCTTCTTCGAGTTCGGAGTCCGATATATTGAACAGGTGTATCCCATCCTTCACGTTCTTGACGCTAGGCCGATGCCAGTCCATAAACGCCGGCCCATCAAACGCATCCGCCCTCTCCTCTGTTGCCGCTGAATATTGGCCCTTTTTTCTCGACATCCGAGGGTTGCTAGGACGCCCTTTTTTTTTATGACGGAGGGGTTTTGATGCCTCCACCAGCTCATCATGAGAGACCTCTCCGTCGAAAAGCAGAAGATCATCACTGCCGAGACCAAATTCTTCTTGCTTGGCAAGAATTCGGGCCATGCGTTCGTCACCAGTCTCGAGGTGACGTTGTCGGCTCGCTGCGACGGTGCGGTCCACTGCGACGTAGTCCGTATCGTCTGAACTAGACGCCGTAACGGGAGCTACATCGCTGTTGGTGCCACCTAAGTCTCTTAGGATGGTGAAGTTATTGAACCCGAGCCCCGTGTGTTCTTCCCCATCGCTTTCGTCATCTTTCCAATTATTGAGGTTGGCAATGTAGTCGTCAATAGCTGGCGAATCTTCTGCCGAATCGGTGCTTCGGCGAGATTGTCGGGCCTTACCACGGCCCCCTGCTGCGGAAGTAAGGGGTATGTAGTCGTGCTCGTCGAAGGCGTGATTTGGCGTTGGCAGCCTGTGACGAATGCTCTCTCTGATAGTCTGTAGCTCATAATCTAATTGGTGTAGTCGAAATGAATTGGCATCAACATCATTATTAATCTTGCGAGGGACGCATCCCGGACGATTGCCGGCCCTCCCCTTGAAAACAATGACTTCGTCACAACTATGGCAGGACTCGGAATCTGTGGTACGTTCAAGCTTGGACATTGTATCAACCGTGTAAAGTGCTAGTGGCTCTGGGGTCAGCCTTTCGGTCTGCACGGACCCTAGGGTATGACGAATTGGAGCTGAAACGGGATCACCAAGCGAGCTGCTACTCTCAACGGCAACAATGGGGGTGACAGGAGATTCCTCGATAGCCCCCATATTAGCTTGGTTTTGACCGGTGACAGTGAGCTGAATCTCAAGATCCTTCAATGGATCCATCAGGCCAGCGCAGACGAAGGTCACCGGTTTGTATCTCAGCCCGGCATCACGACTAAGAGCATCACGGCGGTTGTATGCCGTGTTCCTAGCCTCGTCGGCAAGTGTATGGCCTATATCGGGTTAGAGTTGAAACACGGACGACGAGTGAGCAGGGAGTACCATGAGTTCTCATCGAGGGTTGCCAGGCTGTTACGAAGTTGTTAACATCGTGTTCTCCTGATAGGTCTTCAGTTGGCTCGCCTTGGTGAGGGAATCGCTGGCTCGTCCAACGGAAAGAAGGACCTTTCCTGTTTCTTGGCATCTTGGGATACTTGCGATGGTTTGTTGGGGACTGAAGAGGGGTTAGCAGCCTAAGCCGTATCATGGGAAGGCCACGGGAAGGCCGCCTATCTAAGTCTCACGACGTGGACTTGAACTAGAAGATCAGTGCGTTTTTAGTTTCCGGAGCCGCTACGTTAGAATTTCCAGCTTTCAGGCATTCGCGTATCCCCTTGCACGGCGAGTAAGTCATGTACGGCCACAAAGGAATGATTTAGGTAAAGAGAAATGAATGAAGGCGAGATTAATAATCAGCTTAGCTGGGAAGGCCGATGTGTCAACCTAGTTACCGGCCATAGGAGGGCGAACTTTACTTAGTTCACACTCTGAGGTAGGTGAATGGTTTCGTATTTAAAGGATAATTATCCCTATCCGAAGGATAGTTATAATACGTCAAACCCCTTGTCATGCTGATTAATTCACAGGGGTAATTCTCCTATAAAAATACCCCTGTAAATAACCCTGTAAATGCGGGGTTATCTAAGGGATACTTTATTTTTATTAGCTAAAAGTTTGTACAGCCTACTTAAAGGAGATGCATTTAATAAAACCGTAGCATACGTAATAGGATCTATATATTAATATATTTAAGTTTTTATATAGCTGCAGAAATTTAAGTAATAAAGTAAATATAAATAAGTTGTTTAAACCTATTTATATGTTCTTTTTTCAATATCTTTTCTATTTAATTTTGAAAATAGTTTAGTTTTAAAATTTACATATTAAATAAAAACCCTATATTATATTTACTTAACTATTAGTTATATACTCTCGAGTTATTAATTCTACTTTATTAAGAAAATGTTACAGTTTTAAAAGCTATTCACTGTGTAAAAGCCGTATATTAACAAATTATAGCTATATAAAGAAAAGAAAAAAAAGTATACTCTCTATATAGACTGTATTTATAACTATGAACTTTATCCTCTACCAGCGTTAAGAGCGAGATTACATACTAAGTCTTAATACTAGCCAGAGTACAATTACTACGTATAACTTATTATAGAAAATTTAAAAATATTTTTTTAATTATAATATTACTAAATAGGTTTAAAAATATTAATATATTATAAATGTAATTTATATAAATATTTAATTTTCATTTTATTATAATAGTATAGTAAAATTAAACTACATGAGCCTTCTGTAATAAGCTATGTATAATTACAAAACCTTAGTTAGCATAGTATTAAGGTACGTAACTGCTTCTTTTATATATAAGTAACTTTTGAAAGAGTGACTTTAATAAAGCATACCTTTTTTACTTTCTCTTTTTATATAACTTTCTTATTTCAATGTATATTCTTTTATTTAATTAATAATTTTCAAAACTTGAATACAAAGTTATATTATTATCTCTATAAGGTTAATACTATAGTAGTGCGGTAAGACATGCCCTCTTGATACATTACGTAACACGCTACGATAGGCCTTATTGCTATATAGAGTAACCATAGCTCCCGTAAGTACGGGCTATGCTATGCTTATTATCGAATTTACTACCTAGCTAGATTACTATCTTTATTATTTTTACCTTAATTAAAGATTCGTTTTTATCATTAAATTCGTCGTTCTCCTATTAATATATTTATCTTAATTATAGACGCTTAAGTTACTTTGTTGTACCGCTATAATAGAATAAATAACTTTTACGTTTTACTTCTTTTCTTTTCTTACCTTTTATACCTTTAGGCTAGCGATTATTACATTTCTACGACTAGGGGACATAACCGAGATATAATAACTACATTAAATTCGTCGTCTTTTAATTAATATAGTAATATTAGTTTTATTTATCTTAAACTATCGTATAAGTTATAATCTTCGATAAAGTATACTTTCGAGTAAACTTATCTGAGACTTTAATATCTCGTACGCTTTACTCCTCCTTAGTAGCGACTACCTTATGACTTTTCGACCCCTTAACCTTTAATCTACAGAGTTTCTATTACGTTACTAAGATTTAAAGGATACCGATCGCTATAGGTACTGCTATATAACCCGCGAAGTAGTCCGCGTTTTACGTTAAATAAAGTATCCCGCCTTATGGTTATTTATTTACTATAGGGAGTTACGTATAAGCCCGGGAACTTTTACGATACTACTACCGCTAGGATACTACTTAGCCCTTAATACTCAGAACGTTATTAAGCTATTAATATTACGATATAATACGACGAATAAACCGCGTTTATAGCGATTAGGATAACCCTCGTATAGTTATTTATCTATTATATAGAGGTACCTATAAGCCCGAGAAACTTTCGTCGTAATACTATCGCTACTAAGGATGGTACCTAGCCCTCGACATTAATAGCTTTCCTGAACCGCTAATAGCATAATATATTTCGCGCGAATAAATAGCGATTATAGCGATTAGGGTAGCCCCTTTATAGTGAACAGGAGCAGCGTGGGCACGCTGACGGAGGCACGAAACAAGGACTGCCTAACTGCCAACAACTGGCCCAGTGCCGATCAACCAAGATTACAGCTGTAAACAGCTGTAATCGGTTGATCGGCCAGCTGAAAACGGCAGCTGGGAAAGGAAAGAAGAGAGAGAGAGAGAGACTAGAAACGGGTAAAGGAGGATGGCTAGAAAGGCATGGCAAGAAACGAGTGAATAGCTGGTGGCTGTGATAGCTACAGGTCTAAGTCTAACTAATGAAAATATGAGTGCGCGACCCATATAAATAGACATCGAAAAGGCTACGTGGCCTAGATCCACCGCACCACTACAATAGTTATTTATTTGCTATATAAAGAACGTACGAACGTCTTAATATAAATTATAATAACCTATAAGACCTGTTACTTCTTTATTAAGATTAAAGGCGGATAAAGGCTAATAGTAATTATGCCTTAACCGAGCTTACGATAGCTTCTTTTTCTTTTTAAACCTATTAATCGATATAAATTAAATATATAGGTATTAATAACTTATTATACTAGAAGCATTTTAAGATATCTAAACGTAACGATTCGACGATATAATATACAATATAATATAGATATTAGTATTAATAGTATAGATAGGATTAATAGATTAATAGCTATTAATAACTAATAATTTCAAGAAGAATTAAGAATTAATATTAATAGGACTATGTAAATATAAAGGATTAGGGAACGGAACTAAAGTCGAACTAATAAGTATACCTATATATAAGTTAGCCTTATATTACTAATTAATAGCTAGTATGGCGAGAAGTACTAACATAGGCGTAAAGCAGCGCCTAGCGGTAATACTGCTAATACTATTAAATAACTTCCGTTAGATCGAAACCGGCCCATAGCTATAACTGATATCGTATTTAGCGCGATCCTTTACTCAGGATCTATTCCTTATACGTATTACCTTAACGAAGGTTATACGTTAAAAGTTCTAGACCTTAATAAGAGAAATTATCGTCGACTTATTTATAATAATTAAACTTTTAGTTTAGGGAATACGCCTCGTACTTTAGTTAAGCGTTAACCGACTAAATAAGCTTATATAATACCCGGACCTTATCGATTAAGATAATATAATAAATAATCATATACCTATACTAAAGAAAAAGTATTAAGATATAAATAATAGCTATCTTACTTTTATCCCTATATTAAATAATAAGACTCTTATTACCTTTCTTTCTACTTTCTACTTCGTACCGATAAACTAAACGGAGTCCGTAGTTAGGAAACGGAGCAGATCGTTATTAGGCTCCGAAGTAATAAAGATTAAATTATTAATAAAGTCCTTAAGAATCGATATTAACTTTCCGCTTTTATATCCGCCCGAAGAAAAGGACGACGACGATAAAACTCCTACTTAACTACTCCTTATCCGTAGCTCTATACTTATCCCGCTAATCTTTATGGTATTATTATAAAATAATAATAACAGGGCTTCTAATAATTAAAATATACCGGTAGCTACCTCGATTATCATAATACTAGCTATTAAATTCCTAAACCCTACCGATTACCCTAGGTTTAAGTTTAATAAAGGTAACGTAACTTAATAACAAAAGAGGGTAGATCGATTATTTAACCGCTATCGTATAAGTAATAACGATAAAATTAAAAAGATCGGTAAATAAATTACGATTAAAATCATTAGAAAGCGTATTAACGACATTATAAAGGATTTAACGATCTAAAGAGTTATCGTTATAGCCTTAAAGTACCGTTTTAAGATTACTGATAAATTAAGCTAAGTTAACGTTAAACGAAAACTCGTAGCGTTAAAACGAGGCAACGTAATTTACGATCTTAAGGCGATCTTTACTTATCTTATAAACTATAAACGTCTTTTTAAGCTTATAAATAACGACGGAAAGCTTCCTTAGAAAGTAAGACGCTTAATTAATAAACTTCAAATATCTCTAATTATAAAGTTTTATAAAACGAGAGACTATAACTATAATAAGATCGGAAATATCGATTACTAAACTTTTTATACCTAGCTTTATAAGTAAGCGGAACGTCGTATAATAGTATAAATTACTAATAGGAACTAAGCTGAAGAACGACGATAGTAAAAAACGATAACTTTCGAAGAACCTGAAAAACTTATAATATAAATAGTTTAATAATTAGCGACTCCTAATCTCTAGATGCCTCTACTACCGCCTTCCTCGTAGCCTAGATCCTTTTACGGCTACCTAAATACTAGTTAAGAAGCTAATATATAAGCCCTTTACGACTAACTTAACGCTTTAGAAATAAAAATAACTTCGTAGAATTACCGTTAAGAGAATAGCTTTTATAACCCTAGGGATACGTACGGCGTTAATTAATAATATTAATAAAAAACCCCGTTCTTAGTATACGCGGTTCGGAACCTAAATCTTTATAACTTATAAATTAACGAAAGAACCTTAATAAGCTTTAAACGTAGTATTATATTAGACTACCGAAGTATATATAGTAGGATTTTATTAACTTAGTCGAGTAATTATAAGGAATTCGAATGTTAGTTTTATAATACTTTCGATCGTCTTTATAACTATATCCGTTACCTATTACTAACGGATATAATATAAAATCAGTTCTATTATAGAAATAAAAAGCGATTCTATTACCTTAAGAACGAAGACCTAGATAAGCTAGAATCGATACTAATCCTAGGATCGATTATTACCTAAGCTAAGCGTAAAGGAAAACCGATCGCTTATTATATCTTATTCTACGTATACTAGAGT